ATCTAGGTCAGAAATTAGAGTGGTTAATACAGTTTTCAGATTTTATATAAGGCAGCCACTAAAAGTGTTTCATGGACCGACTATGCACACCCTAACACAAAAGGTTTGTTATCAAATCCTAGTTACACCTACTAGGCATGTTACAAACATTGCTAATGGAGTAAAAATATATCCATTCTACGTTTATGTCATGATAACTTCACTAATTCGAGGTTAGGACAAGGGTTAATGCTATTTTACCAAAATCCAAGCTTAGGAAAAAAAAAAAAAAAAAAAAAAAGACCAAAAGCATTAGGTAGAGTAAGAGGAATGATGAGTTTAATTGATATAAGGCATCCAAAAACTCAATTAACCATAGTGTAGGATTAACTTTCAGATTTCTCAAGTAACCCAAAATAATAAGAGACTTCCATGATTTCATCAAAAACCAAAGAAAGACACAATATCATTGTTCTCTAAACTCATCTATGAAATCATGCAATGACATAATATTCTCAAACTCAATATAAAACCTAATTTCCAACTATTTAATTCATAGACAAGCTGCCGTTTAAATTTAAAATATATGCACAACTAAGATTTGATATAACCATACAAATTCCTTAGAAAACACTAGATTATAAACATGCAAGCAAACTTTGACTAAATCTAGAGGGGAGTAATTTAATCTCAATTAATCAGGGTGTTGCAATATTTTATTTAAGTACTATTAAATCTGGTAGCATTATCCTTTAAAAAAAAGTCTGATATCATTATTACTCAACAAAAGTAAAAACGAAAGCAAAAAAAAATAAAAACCAATACTATTAATAAGAAAATATCTAGGAGTAGACAAGATCACCTTTTAGCACCAAATTAGAAAGGATACTTGTCACCCGATATAGGGATTAGGGTTAGGGTGTTCATAAAATGAACCGTGATTTTCTTTAATAGATGATCATATTAAATTTGCAAAATAAAATCTTTGTAATTTTGTACTCCGTTGATTTTTATGTGAAATAGCATTATAAGAATCCGTTTATTTCACCAATTTGAGTTTAGAATTCGAGTTTTACTGCAGTAAAAAACTCTCAGAAACAATCACATTTAACTTTTTGTTACAGTAAAAAATTCTCACATAAAGTCACATCTCAACTCGAATCAGCAAACTAAACGGGTCATAAATGATTGGGTGGTTTTATATGCATATTTTTTTTACTCTCTACACCTCCTTCTAACTACGCACTCCATATAATTTTAAAATAATTAAATTTTCTTTTGATAATTTTATTCATACCCCTCTTTTCATTCCACACCCGTTTTTTCTCTTCACACCCCTTTTATCTTTTGTTTATATCTCTTTATTTTTTTATTTACTGTCTTTTGTTTGGATAATGAGCAACTTTTTATAAACCAAAGGCCAAACAAGCCAACAAAAGACACAGTCAGGAGCTGCTAATCAGCACACCGCTCCAGTACATCAACTAGCACAGAACTAGGAAGCAAACAAAAAAAAAACAATTCACAAAAAAAAAAAAAAAAACTAAAAATAATAAATAAAAGAGTAAATTAAAAAAACAAAAAACAAAAAACAAAAGGTGAGTTGGTCAGACCTTGGATTGCATAGCGGGCAAATCAGTGCAGCTAGATGATTAGCAAAAAAAAAAAAAAAAAAAAGTTTTGCCGATCAACAGCAAGTATTAGAAATATTGTCCATGAGATAAGTATATTTATTATTTAATTTATAAAATAGTTTATTCTTTATTTTTTACAAGTATTATTAAATGCTTTATGAATATTATTGATAATTTTTTTTATTATTTATGTGACCTTAAATATTATATATAAGTGCTATATACGAGAGGATAATATTTAAGGATAATAATCAAAATAATGTTCATAATGAATTTAATTAAAGTTACGAAATCTTTAATTAAAACATTATTAATACACGTCATTCTCATTAAGAATAAAATGATGTTATCCACATCATTAATATAAAGGGATATTGAATGAGTATATTATACATAATAAGATTATATAGAATTGGGACACAGACACAATTTGATTTTCTGATAATTTCTGTTAACTATAGAAAAATTAAATTTGAATCTACCGATGGTCATATATGGAATGATCTTAATCCTAAGTTATTAGTAGACTCCTATTTATGAATTTTTGTTTTTTGACTTACTCGGGTACGGATTTTGAGATCCTAAATCTTATTTCTTGTATATTGAAAACATGGAAATTGATAGCCGAGAATGCTAATATAAGAGATGAAATCCATTCCTCATTCTTCGAAGAAGTAGATAAATAATTCTCTTGAGGGTTGATTCGATACTTGAATAAGTAACGAGCTCGTATTCATGAATGAGTTTTATGAATATATTATTCATTAGAAAATCAATGGTACTCAAAGATAAAGATGTAATTAAAGAGGTTAACAGATTTTATCTAACTCTAATTATGAATTATTTATGGATGATTGATCTATATGTAATGACTATGTCGAATGGACACTTCAAGTTCTTAGAAGTAAATTATGTCTATAATTTCAAGAGTCAAATTCCTAATTTTTAGTGAGTAACTTTTAGAATTAATTAATTAATTAAAGAGTTTAATTAATTAATTATTTGATCGGAGCTCAGAATTATAGGTCCATGAGTCTTCACGTCATCATTGTAATATTTACAAGACAAGATGAATTATCAGATTTAATATCACTTAAAATGAATAATGTGATTATTTAATTAAATTAATTTTGGAACATACTGTGGTGGGACCACAGGAGGTCACACGCCCAGGCATAGGGAGGTGCAGGGGCGTGTGACACAAGTAGAATTCCACTGAAATTTGCTTACTCTTAAAGATATCTGGTTTACTTGTTTGACAAGTTTTCTAATCAAATTCAAAAGAAAAGTGAACTATGACTTTATTTAGATTTAAATTTAAACTAAAATTGGAAATTGGATAAAGGAGGAATTTTCACTTTCTCCTGCTGTAGATTTACACCAATCATAGGGAGGTTTTCCTATGGTGTGGCCGACCATGTAGTAAAAAAGGAGAGAAATTTGTTTCCAAAATTAAATGAGAAACTTTATTTTAATGAGATTAAAATATAGTAGTAACCGGTTTTTTTATTGCTTTGTCTTTAAGTTAAAGCAAAGGAGTTCTCCTAGTATTCTATAAATATGAGACAATAGAAAATTGGAGTAGAAAATTTTTACTCTCTATTTTTCCTAAGGTAGCTGAATATTAGAGAGAGAAAAGAGAAGAAAAATTCTTCAAATTCCTAGTTTCTTCACATATATGTGTTGATAGTGAAGGAATACAAATTAGTGAGTGATCTAATTTGATAGCTCTTTATTAGTGCCCACACTCTAGGTATTGCAGATTTTAAGAACTAGATGAGGAAGATTTAGATTTTCTGAGAAAACTTGGAGCTTAGACTGTTCGCGGTCAAAAATTTCAAGTTATCTGTTTAATCGTTCGCTAAGTATCTATCTTTATAAAATAATATAATTAATTTATTATTACATAAATTAATAAAAAAAATATTTAAAAATTTTATGAAAATTTTTATTATACACGATCCGCACTATCACGCTTTCGCACTCAAAGCGTTTCGCTTTCGCACTCAAAGCGTTTCAAAAACCAACAACAAGATATATATACAACCATGTGCACAAGTGTTTAAGCAAAAAACCGACGACCACAGCCAGTATCTTTAGAGGGGAGAGAGAGAGAGAGAGAATAGACCAAAAAGAAACCATAATCTCACATTACAAAAAAGGAAAACAAATGATTAGCTTAAAAAATTGATTAGTAAACAAATATAAACACAAAACAAAAAACAATAGCAAAGAAAATTTAAATACCTTAATTTTTTAGAATAGTGATTGAAAGGTAAAAATTAGGGTTTACCTGTAAATTTTAGAAATATAAATAATTTATAATTTGCCAATATGATATGGGGAGGGGTGTGGAGAGAAAAATGACCCTCTATCATTAGTTTTTCTTTTCTAATAAAATTTAATTATATAATTAAATATATTGTCTTTTTCTGTCATTTTATTTAAGGTTGTTTTTGTAATTAAAAATATTTTAATCTAAGTAGAGTGTGGGATATAAAAATCCCTAAATGATTTTAGATGCGTAATTGCTAATGATTTATGCTGAAATTTATTGATAGAGGTGAAAGTTCGGGCCGCACGGCCCGAGCTCGATGGTTCGAATGAGAATTTCGAGCGGACCGGGCCGACCCTAAAAGGAGGAGGGTCAGCCCAGCTCAGCCTTAAAGCTCAATGGGTCAAGGGCCGGGCCGAAATTTATAAGGTATTTTTAAGAAAAAAAACTAAAAAAGATGTGTTTGGGGCGGGCCGGCCCAAATAAAGTTTCGAACTTAAAATCTAGGCTCGGCCCGGGCAACAGTGTCGAGCCTCGAGCCGGCTCATTTAACTCAGCATAAACTTGCAACTCTATTTATCAATATCAATAATTGATAATCCGACATCTAAATAAGAAAAAAAAATAGTTTAATTTTCTTTAGATAATCTTTTCAGAAAGAAGATTTTGGTTCAATTGCCTCCCGAACTTAATATAGTTTAGCAAATTGTCCCCAAAATTTTTAATTTTGACGATCATCTCCGCAAACTTATAAAATTGTTGCAATATGCCTAATTATACTAAATTTGCTTAAATTTTTTTATTAAACTTAAGAGATTAAAAATTAATGAATTGAACGATTTGTTTTACATTTAAATTAGAATGTTAGAATTTTTCTTTAATACTATCATAGTCAAAATGATGCATATTGCAACAATTTTACAAGTGGAGAAGTCAATTTGCCAAAATTAAAAATTTAAAAAGCAAGTTACTAAAACCATACAAGTTTAGAAAATAAATGTGTAAAATACCCTTTCAAAATCCGTAAAAATCCGCCCGCTAAAATCTACCCAACAATAACAATAGGCAATCGGTTAAAAGAGCCAAAGAGACCCAATCCAACCAAGTACGCAAAACCCAAATGAGTCGATAGAACATCACGTGAAACTGACTAAAAAGAAATATACAGACCAATTTGGAATCATACAAGGAAACCAAAATGAAAAACAAGAAACAATATTAGGGGAAAAAAAACTACCCTATTTGAGCCTCTAGTCACTGTATTGTTAATCGATTGATAGTTCTTTCCGCTCAATCTCTATACATTGTAATATCCTGCAAATTTAGTTTACACTGCCATCCTCATCCGAAAGTATAATCATAATAATGCAATGGTCAAATGTACAGCTGCTAGTTTTGAGTCTGCGTCTTTCCATCATGAACTTAGCTGTCGACGTTCTTACTTAGCTGTCGATGTTCTTCGATAACCTCAGGCATGGAAGGAGAGGAACCACCACTGATTTTGCTAGGCAATGGTGTGTTCCTCCGCGACTGGCGCTTTGTAGGCACCAATGTACTCTCGGTATCCCATTTCTCCGACACCACATCGTCATCCTCATCCTCGCTCTCTTTGAAAATCGGATGAATATATGCTACTTGGAGGTAGCCTTTCAAGTTCAGGTGTGGCTCCCTTGCACGTTCCAGCGTGTCTTTCATCATCGCTTCCTGTAAACGTCAAAAAGGTTCAGGTCAAGCACTTCGTTTTGACATGTCATTTACTTTGTGAAACTTTACAAGAGTTCTAGTGATGCAGATCAAATCAATTAGGATAATTTGGGATTCATCTCTTTGATTAGGAGACTGATTTCGTTGATTAGGATGGATTTCAGATTGTGTTTTTATGCATTTAATTTAGGATATTCAGTTTTCTATTTTAATTATGTAACTAGCCTATAAATTGGCTGTATTGTTAAGAGGACAACTCAGACTATGATATTGAGTTATCAGATTGCTTCCCCCCTCTTGCTCTCTCCTTCCTCCTCTCTCTCTCTCTATCTAAATTCTTTTCATCTCTAATTCTTCTTATATTTCTCTTCTTTTCTCTAAACTCCCCCTCTCTCTCTTCTCCCCTCTCCCTTTTTCATGATAAAATATAATGCAGATTCATAGTTTACCTGCAATGGATATTTAACAAATGCAGATTCATAACGGCCTTTGCAGAACCTGAAGAACCATATAGTGAGGACAGGAAGAACAATCAGAACTGGGGTTGATTGAGCATTCTCTTTAGTGCCCAACAATCCCAGCAGGGCTACTTGTGAAGTAATCAATGCAATTATGATACGCAAATGGACATCAGGCCAGAATGCTGCGCCGCTCTCATATTCCTGGTTATATACGTTTATGATCTGCATATTCAATTAACAAACCATTAAAAAAAAAATCATAGAATTTCATACCCTTAAAAATTGCATGGTCAGATGAACAAACTATAAAAGAAAAAAGCTACCATGAAGTTCAGACGAATGAAGTTCAAAACTATGACGTTTAAAAATGTACCCTTATAAAAACATCAGAACCTAAAGTCATATGACAAGAAAATGAATTTATTAATATTCTGAGAGACATGCCAGATGCCACAGCTGTAATCGTGAAGCAGGAATTCCCACGAAGAAACATGAAAGAAAATTTTGAATAAAGCTACGATTTCCTCAACCTAGAGCACTGAAGAGGAGGACCAGGCTGCTCGAATTGTTCGTGACAGGCAAAATATGTGTATTCAAAATCTAAAGTTCATACATATCCGTATGTGTGTAATTTCATGATAAAATCTAATGCTCTTTTATAAATTACTGCAAATATAAGCTGTTTACCTGATGGCGGAACACAAGATACGCGAAACCAAAGAAGACTATTATGAATGGAAGTATGACTGGATTCATTGCAGCATACACAAGGCCTAGTAAGAAATACAACTGTATACGAGGTTCTCCGGTATTGAATCCAAGACTTCCTGGATCCATTGCCTCCTCCCTATCCTTTTCAGTCTTCACCAAGAAAAAGTTCTTCAAGTGATATATAATCAGTGGTTTCAGCATTAGAATCTCTCCAGCTATACCAGCCCATCCATCAACCATTATGTAAGTTATGAAGAAGGTTGCTTTCAATGGGACTGCCACCCCAATTGTTTCAGGAATCCTGCCAAAGATTTTTTTTTTTTTTTTAATAACCAAATTAAAAACTTTGAAAGAAAAGGACAGACTGAACTTTTGAAATCATGAAAAAATAAAATAAAGAAAGAAAGAATCAGATTCGAATACAATAACAGAAATCACGCTGTACATCTCATTCAATTTATCAATGATTAGCCAAAAATTAAAAACAACACGGAAATAGTTATTGTGTCAGGATGACATACTTGCTTGCTGATTGGTGGATGAAAGAATTCAACTGATCAAGCGCCGACCCGGTAATAATGCTACCAAGAAATACATTCACAAAATTGAAGAGATAATATCTAGATGCTGCTCTTCTTTCAAGAGAAGATATAGATCCAAAGCCTTCAAATTTAGACATTATCATCAATATTGTTGGCAAGAAGATGAGAAATAACTTCAACACAATCCCAGGTAGAAAACCTTGGACGACTGACTTGATAAATTTGCTGCATATCAAAATTATGATATTAGAACTTATTTGTTATTAATGAATATAATAGATTAAGTTTAAAACGTCTAAGAATGAGAGAAGCTCACAGTTCTATAAAGCCTTTTAGAAATGGTGCTGCTTTCTCAATTCCCTCGATATTTGCAAGGGACTGTACGAATGCAATTGGAATCATGAAAAAGAACGTGAGGAAAAAGAACGCCACAGCCATGATTAGCCTCCGGACTGAAAGCGAAACATAAGGGATTGCAAGATTGGCCCAGTATACATCGCGCGGCTCTGGAGCCCACTCAGTCAACCAAATGGTTGGATTTCTAGTTTGCTGAGTTTGTGCACAAACAGCAGCACCCCATCGACTTTTAAAGGAAACAAATGCTGCTGGTATGACAGACTTAGGATCACTCACAACTTTTTCCCTTTCTTCTGCTATCTGAAGAATCAAGTGATTCATTTGAATTGAATAGACTGAACCATACTAAATTTATTTACATAACGCAAAGCATATTCAGCAACTTCTAACATGCAATCAGACTTCAACATATTAAAGGTTCTCAGAAGCTCCTCCTTATCATAAAATAGTACACGTTGGCAGAAAGCCAAGAATGAATCCTTCTTTAAATCAAAGAACAATGTTTACCGCAAACTTAGAATGTGCTATAAAGTTGTAGAAGACACGGAAATTACCAAACCAGTTAATGTTTCATTAAATTAGAGAAACATCCGCATTCTCTGGAACAAATGGACTACAAAAAAATCGGTCATGAATTCAACAAATCTTGTCGATTTTTCTAGACCAACTTTCAGGATTTAATATTCTTTAGTTGTTTTCTGGAATCAGGATTTAATAATCTTTAGTCTCTTACTAGAATTGAAGAAGAAGAAGATAATCAACATATCACAATCTTGGAAATGAGAACATTTAAACAAGTAACTTAAAGGCTACTTACTTCTTTTGAAAGTTTATCGATTTCAGACGTGTAATGATCAATTGCATCCAGTCTCTTTCCCCAAAGCCCGAGACAACCAGTCTGAAAGTAAAGTTATATGCATAGATTTTGGTTAAACACACAACTCATTTAGCAAATAAATTAGAAGACGCTAGGTTCTTAACAAACACGAGAAGAATTGTGTACCTTCATCACGGGCCTCTTGGAATTATCTCTAGAAAACTTATTATTGTAATAGGTAAGCCAATTGATCATCTTTTTCTTCTTCTTAACCAATTTCGCAAGTCTGTTTGCATTGTATACTACCTGCATATTTTTTCCTTAATTATGAGACATATATAATGACAGTCGTTGAGAGTCTAGAGAAGATTACTGATGATAAGAAGTTTTTTAATAAATCTTTGTAACAATATAACCACAAGGCTTGGAACATACAATGACCATTATACAGACTATAAGAGACCGGAAAAGCATGACATGGCTTCAAGATTCATTAAAGTAAAAACCAAAATGAAAAAAACTCTATACTTGGCCCACAATAAAGAAATAACGTCACTCTCAGGAAATTATACTCAGAGAACCAAGTACATCATAATCTATAACATACATAAAAGAGGCAAAGATGTTGCTCCTCCTTTTGCCACATGTCAACCTCTCATCTCTCTCTTTTGTTTTTAGTTTTTACATTTTCTTATTTCTGATCTTTCTTTTATTTAATTTACTTTTTCTTATTTCTATTCTTCTTTTACTTTTTTAAGTGTTTTTTAATCGTTTTCCAAGTGCTCTTTTGTAATTTAATCTTCTTACGAAATACTTCCATGATTTTCTCACTTTACTCTATTTAAAATAATTTATTTTATATGTACCCCATAAATAATTTACTATGTGATTTTTTTACTTTTTTTCCTTTTAAATGTGCTCCACTGAACTTTTTTCCTTTTTTACTAAACTCAATTATCAGGTGAGTAATAAATACCACTAAATGTTAGAAGAAACTTTATTTTTTTATAATAAAAAATGTAAGGAATGCACGCGCAGAGCGCGTGCTTATAACTAGTACTTAGTACTTAGAAAAGTGAGAAATAATTTGGTATTGTATGTGTTAACTGCATTAAACAATGACAGAATCAGATGGAATTACTATTACTCAACTTTATGCTTGTACATCACAGCATATGGAAGGTGGAACAAACCTGATGCGTAAGATAGTGATCCGGATGATTGACCAGAAAAAAATGCTCCACATTCTCACTCACAGATTCGTCCGGGTCTGGCGGAACATTTCTAACGAGTACCTGTGAGCAACAACATCCATTTGGTAAAGGATCATTACATAACACGTTATCATGTCTCTATGCTATATACGTCAAAAAAAAAAAAATTTTTTGAATGCCTTAATTAGTAAAATATAAGGCATGCATTTGTCCTTGTTATCATAATTGAAGGCTTCTAAGAGAACTATTAAGATAACTACCAATATTATGTTAAACACAAGAATTCTCTGTTATACCCGCCAAATGACCTTATGAACTAATGCTCCAAACCCCAAAAAGAACCCTAAAAGCCATCCTTTTGGCTTTTGTTGTATTTGAGGGGGGAGAGGAAAATGCAAGTAACAGTCTTTTCAAACATTTTGAACATAATAATTTAAAAACCAACTCTTTCCAAAGTCAAAACTTCAATTTTCGGCGTGCAAAAAAGGAAATATGGATAATAAACATCATTATTCACTGGTAGGCCTCGATGACTGCATTGTGCTTTTTGTTTTACTAGAATAAAATCATTAAACTAATTTGTAAGGTTCCCAAAAGAAATCAGACGCTTCAACCAACAATTTACCATTCTTTTGAAGATTATACAATATATGACCCTATCTTATATACCAAAAGAAAATGCAGATCTTACTGTGAATTGATCCGGACGGCGTTTTTGTGATGCAAGAAATTGCAACCGCAGTGCGGCTACTTTCCCATACTCCTTATACAACACATAACATGTCCAGAAGGTGAAGGCATAAGCCATTACTATATGAGTCCACAATCTGCCATATCAAGAATTTGAGAATTAACGCATCTGACACTCAGAGAACGTAGTCTTCTAAATTGAAAATGTAATTGCGTAAAACCAATAACAATGACTAAGTGGACACCAAAGGAGTACAATTGATTAACAACCATTCACACAAGAGCATTAAGCTGCTAGTTTTCCAACCACAAACCAGAAAGCCCATACCCTCTTTTGTTGCAATTCTTCCACAGAAAAGTGGAGAATTCAGCAGTATCAAGAAACGAAAGTTATACCTGGGCGATCCATCCTTGACATTCGAAATCGAGAGCTTATCAATGTCACTAGAAGTTCCATTTTTGTTCTGATCGAGAAACTTCAAATGGTCACTAGTCCAGTTAACAGGGACCAAAATAGCCCATGCAAGAAGCGCTATAGGAACAAAGATCTTAAGTCTGCAATACGCAACGAGAGAAAAAAAAAAAAAACAGAGTTCAAGACAAGATAAGACTACAGAAAACACAGCAGTTTTAAACAAACAACCGGAAACAATGTCCTTGCAGCAATTCAAAGATAAAACAACAAACAAAATAAAGAACACAGACATGGGCATCCTTGAAATTACTCGTTCCATTCAATATGACGACACCAAAAATGGAAAAGATAATGATATTTTGCGGCGTACCCTATCAAGTAAATCCGCAAGTAAACAGCGGAATCGAGTCCGGCGTGATCGATAAGCTCCGGTTCGGGCATCTTCAGCGCGGCCGGCATCCAATTCAAGAACCTTACGTACGACCGGGAGTCCAAATTCACAAACCTCCGTACAAACGCACCGGAGCGCGAAGGGCTGTTTCTTAAGCCCTTGAGATACCATTTCGGAAAGTAGACTCTGTCGTTGAAAGGCTGAAGCCTCAGGACCGCAAATGCTAAGAGGAATATGAATGCGGTGAAAATATTGATCGCCGCCGAAACTCCTATATCTCCTAGTGTCGCCATTTATACTCCTCCAAACTCCAAAAGTGGGAACAAGGGAACGAAATTTCTGCATAAAAAGATAAAAAGACCGACATTCAAACAAATTTCTGGCAAATATTTTAGGAAATGTAACTTGGAAGTCCTGTTTTATAGGCCAATATTAGACAAACCTAACTTTACCAAACGGACATACTTAACCACTCCAATCGTTCACCAAATCAAATTAGAAAAAACCATGAAAATAAAGGAAAGCTCGCTCGGAAAAATAGAAAAATACCTACTCCACGTTTACGCAAATTTTCCTTTCGGCCAGAGAATCAGCAAAAGTAAAAGCCAAAAACCAGGGAAAACCAGGAATTTGCGGGACGGTAGCTGAACTAGTGAGTGTTCGGATCGCTTCCGAATCGCAGATAAAGCTAAGAACAACTTCTTTTCTTTTCTCTTCCTTTCCTTTCTTTTCCGGGAAAATTAGAACGCACGTCACTGTAATCAGCCTTTTTTTTCTTTCCCTCAATAATAAGAATGATAAAGAAGAGAGAGAATGAACAGCCAGTGACTAATCCAAACAGCGGAATGATTTATTGGAGAAGGCGAATTCTGGAAAGGGAAGGGGAGACAAACGACAGACGTGGGTAGGATCAGGTGGGCCGGTTGGTTTTCATATGCCTTAGATTAAATAAAAATTAGTTTTTTTTGTTAAATTATAAAAAAAAATAATTGTTTTTAGATATTAAATTGAGAAATAAAAGTAAACTCGACTCGTCTTGCGATGTCGGCAAGGTGAGTTTGAGGAGGTATGTCCAACGGCTACTTTATGTGTGTTTATGGGGAATGTGAATATCATGAGAATTCTTGTCCCACGCGCGGATTGGGAGCGTGGTGACCACTCTACTTAATTGTAAACTTTTACGCAAAGTATCCCTATTATACATGCATACATGTGTTTTCAATTTTCCAGCAAATACACGTGTATGGTCGTGTTTAGAATTAATCCTGTTTTTATTTTTTATATTTTTTTAAGAAAAAAAAATAAAAATATTTTTAAAACGATATTTGGTGTAATAAAAATAAAAAATATAAATAAAAATAATTTTTTAGTTTAGTGTAAAATGAGAGAAATAAAAAATAACTTTTAGTCGTTTTTATTTTTTATTTTCGTTTTCTCTTCTCTCGAGCAGAGAAAGAGAGAGAAATAGAGACATTAATGAGTTTTTTTACACTAAAAATAATCTCTTGATAAAACTGTCAAACACATTTTTAAAAATAATTTATATTTGAAATTAAAAACGTTTTCATTTTTATTTTTATACAAAAAATAAAATCATTTTCGAACGAGTTTCAAACGCGCCTATGTGTTTTTAATTAGAACACTTCGTATACCTTTAAATCACAAGTTAATTATTCTTTCTTTTTGAAGGCCATAAGTAAATTATTCTTAAAATACCGTTAGTGAAAATATTATACTTTTTTTTACTTAAAATTGTCTCATACATCTACGTGAATTTACATTTTCCTATCAAAACTATTTTTTATAGGTTCTATCATTTGTTTAGACAAACCTTTTATTTTTAGTTATATATTTTTAAACTTTAGTGTATTATATGTATGTGTATTATGGTTTATGTTTTCACAACCAAAAATAATTCAATAAAATCATTTTTTTTCTATCGTGATAGTAACTTAATTATAAAATTTATGTTATCAAAACAAATAAATCAAAAATAACGTCACGTGAATTTTTCCTTACAAAAAGAAAAAACAACTCATATTCTTCTAAAATTAAGAACTCGTTTTAGATTTACATATTTCTAGTATACACATTTTTATTCAGAATTTTATTTTTTTTGTTTTTTAATAAAAATTGTTGAATTTTTTTAAACGTATTTTTCTATTTGAAAATTCTAATTTCGCAACTTTTTTTCCAAAAAATAAAAAGAATGAGAGCTTTACAATTACAAACCTCAATTTAAGCCTTTAAGGCAAATGCGAAATGGTGTGGGAATAATAATAACAAAAATAAATTAAAAAGCGATTGATTTGGATGCGATTGGGGGATTAGGGAGGGGTAATATTGTAATCACAAATGACGCGTGGAGAGAGCGTTGGCAGCGTGTGACGCGTTGCCTTTCCGAAATTCAGTGAAGGACAGCTGGGATTTGTTATATAAAAGGAACGGCACGTGTGATACTAGGAGACACGACATGTGTATGTGAAGCTGCTTTCGGAATCAGCCGTACCAAAACGACTGCTAGGCATAAGGCATGTGGGCAGTTCTTCATGGACCACGAAATCCCTTTGGTCGTACTTTGGGCCGTAAATATCAACCACTTCACTACTCTACTACTCCCTTGATTTTTTTTTTTCTCAACTTTCATGGACGTTTAATTGAAAGATTTAAATCATAATTTAAATCATGATTTAAATTATGATTCATAATTTATTATAATATTTTTTTATAAGAATATACGTAAATTAAAAATAATTATAATCACATAATTTTAATTCATAAATTAAACGTCTCATTAATGTGAATATAAGACTTATTTTTATTTTTTTAAGGGCTTATTATAGTGAGATCTTCTATATTTTATTAATATGATAGTCAAACTCTTCTGAGTGAAACTAATTGCAGAAGCACCGCTCACTCAGGGGTTGTTCTTTTTAGAACGAAATTGAAAAAAAATTTAAATTTGAGTTACAATTTTATTTAAGTTCATGTTCTTTTATAAAATTTCAGTTTAAACTCGAGTTTAAAGCTAAACTCGAGTTTAAATTTTCTCTTCAACTTGAGTTCATAAACTCAAACTCAAGTTAATGAATAATATTTTTTTATTCTTAAAAATGTCACAACTTTTTCGTTTTAATTCTGATTGAGATGATTTTTTTTCTATACATTCACAACGAAAAGACGAATAAAACTATACCCATATACTCTATTAAAACTTTTCATCACCATTGAATTTTTATTAAAATACTATTTAAATACAAATTTAAGTTTTGACCCACCTAAATACAAACTCAAATAGATTCTCAATTCAAATCATAATTCAAATGTGCACATCTAAACACAAACTCAAGTTATAACTTCAACTCAAGTTATAACTCAAACTCAACTCAAAATCACCACTCAAGTCACCCTAACTCAAAAATACAAAAGACCAATTAAACTCTGTTAAATTTGTTTATAAAATGTCAAAATTACCCCTTTTAATATCGGCTATTGATCAATAAAAGCTAGGGGACGTTTATTTTCTATATTCGTCCATGATTCTGAATCATGATTTATGATTCTCAACAGTGTTTTCTCTCACAAAAAATACACATAAAACAAGAATGATTATAAATCATGATTTTAAATACATAAACTAAACGTCCTCTTAATCCTAACTGTCCATTCAATCTTCTTTTATTGATAAAACACAGTGTCAGTGTAATAAGTTTTTTTTTTTTTAATCAAAGATTTGTTTTCTTTGAAAGAAAGAAAATTGTTTTTGCAAAAACTATGCAACTTTTAGGTTGGGTATGAAAAGAACTGTCCAATTTAGATCATCAAAATCTTATGAACTTTTTTTTTTCTTTTCTTTTTTGAAGGTTTGCTCAACGTGAGAATCTAAAATTTAAAGTGTTTAACTTTTATTAAGATAAAAAATGGCTTCTTTTTTTTTTTTCTAAAGGAAGATTTTTCGTTGAAATATGAAAATGTGGTAGTATTGTTTTTATTGTTGGATTTTCGTTAACTTAACAGTTTTTTTTCTTAGTACATTATTTCTAAAATTTTTGAGGACGTTTGGTTTATGTATTTAGAATCATGATTTAGAATTATTCTCATTTTACGTGTATTTTTTGTGAAAAAAAATACTGTAAAAAACCATGAATCATGATTTAAAATCAGAGACGAATACAGAAATAAACGTAATTAACATAATTAAAACACGATTTCGTCTAACCAGCGTGGATTGGTGATAACACGTTCCTATCACAAAAGTCCATGCTTTTAAGTTTGATTTATTGGGAAAAAAATCACGACAGAGAGCAAGCGCGTGCAGTACGTGGCTCACAAATGTCAAATGCTGCAAAATAATACGTCTTTTGACTCAATATAGCAAATGTGTAATTAACTCCTCATCTTATCCCATGAGTAAATGCGGCATCATATCTTTGAAGAAAAATAGGAAATGTGACATGAATATGATGTAATGGCCCCTCATTAAATTTGCTAATAAAGTAGACGTGGGACCAAGCATTTACCAAGTAATGTCCAATTATTAAAAAAAAAAACAAAAAACAAAGGTTTTAAAAAAGAAAGGAAACTAATTGTCCACGTTGAAAATGATAACATCAAACTAAGCAGAATGGCCAGTCTTGGGTAGCTGTGAAAGCGTACTTGTGTGTTTTTTGGCTTTCAATCTTCCGGTGCCGGTTGAGAGATTGACCTTGTCTCAAATTGCCAACACCTTAGACATATTAATAGCGCGTTTAAAAAATATACTCAAATTATAATTTTTAGTTCTCATTTATTTTACAGGTTCAAATTTAAAATTTAAAATTTATTACAGTAAACAACTCTCAGAAGCAGTCACATTTAATTTTTTTATTGTAATAAATATCTCTCACATAAAGTAACACCTCAACTCGAATTAAAAACTTGAATCAGCGAACTAAATGGGCCCTTAATTCTTACGTTTAAAATTTAAATTTTATGTGGAAGAAAAATACTGTAACAAAATTAATAATTTAAATTTAAATATAAAAATAAACGGGCCATGCATTTTTTAATATTTTTACTCCGTTCTTATAAAAGCATTTGGATTCTTCTAACATTTTTTTTTAACAATTTAGTCCTCGAATTTTTAAAGGAGTAGCAATTCATTCTAAATTAATTCAAATTATGAGATGTTGGCAAGTGTTAAAAAATTAGTGATTTTGTTCGAAATTTATGTCAATTAATTTGAATCAGTTGGTACTGTTCTTTAAATTTAAGGACTAAATTGTCAAAAGAAAAAATAAGGATGAAGAATGTTAAATGACAAGAAGTTCAGACGGCATAAGAACTAAAAATCCATATATTTTCTTTTAACCAAATCTAGCAATTTGATTTGAGAAGTTTAACGCCTTAAGGTTATCAAGATTGACAACAAAAAAATATAAAAATAAATAATAAGAAGGAGAGAAGAGAGAGAGAGAATGCAGTGAAATGAAAGCGTACTTGTAAATTGTCATTATTATGGTTGAGGAGCATGGTTCTTATTTTTGTTTTATATATATATATAAAAGAACATTTTTCTCCTAATCTTCTGACTTAATATTTTGTACGGCAACATAGATAATTCATATGGTAGGACAATGGATGGAGTAGGCTTGCTAACTTTTAAGAGAAAAAGGAAATGGTCCATGTTTCCGCATGAAAATATATGGATCTCGTTCACTTTGTAGATTCGATTTTTTAATTCGAGTTGAGATGTGATATTTTTTTAAAATTTTTTATTATAACAGAAAAAGTTAGATGTGACATTTTCTTAGAGTTTTTTACTGTAAAAATCTAAAACTGAAAATTTAAATCGGTGAAATGAACGAGGTAATGTTTTGTGTACGGGAAAAGAAACCTCATAAAAATCATTATGGCTATTCATTGCCTCGAGGAAATAAAAATTACTAATATTGGTACAAAACTCAATCATTCATACCTCTTTCGCTTAGAGAGAAAAAAAAAATATCATTTATACCTCATCTTCAAATATGTTTAGGCTAAATAAGTTGTTACCATCCATACCACTGCCTTTTAACTTCCTGAATTTCTTAAGAAACTACTTTTTGAACAATAATTTGTTTTGAACATAATTTAAAGAAATTGGCAATTTGGGGACATAATTAGTGCGTTCATATTTGACATGCAACAATATATTACACAAGTGAAATCCAAGTGACATTATTGCATTTCTAATCGTGACTTTTAATTAACATCATGCATGATGAAAAGCCATTTGTGGATGGAAGGTAAAGCATAAATTGTGACCACAAACTAGTTGATAAGATAAAGAAAAAAGACTCACAAAAATCTGGAAAAAAAAAATCCACCATTTAGTTCTGATACTAGTTAGCTTTTTCACAAAAGATAATCTTCCACACAGTGCCAATTATTTGGTTGTGAATTTAGTAGGTCCCATTTGCTCAATAAAGCCAAATAGTACTACAACTCGTTCATAAATAAAGATGGAGTAAAACTACAGCATACTTATTATTCAGATGTACAAGAAGCCTTGTTGGATGTATGTGTTTAATTCTTGCATGTTGCTAACACTACACAATAAAAAATCTGCTGTTTTTAGTCATTTGAATATTCTGTTTTTAATGGATAGATCTATGTGCATTTACGTTAAAAGTTTATAGTGTACGGTGAAAAACTGCTCCTAACTGATTTAGACCGTTAAAAAATTAATTTAACCGTCAAAATACAGTTACTTTCAACATAGTAAAAATACTTATCCTACCATAAATTTTACCCAAAGATAATTATATATTTTTTCCGTGAATATATGTATTGCATATCCTCTGATTTGCCGTTATGTTCCACTATCAAATAGGAACTGAAAAGACTTTTTCGCTCGAAGAATTAATAATAAAGTTTTTTATGTCCTTGTCACATTACGCACGAGTATCACAAGGCACCAGCTAATAATACATTGTATTAACAAACAAAATTGCGGTTCGTGAGATTGCTTAAGCTAAAATGGGCCGGCCATTGTAGAACAATCAAGGCTTAAGTAACAATTTAATGCTGTCTACTATCATTTGTAGTCCAAATTTTCTGCTAAACTATTCTTCCAACTAGGACTTTTTGTATAACGTTACAACTATATATACTCCCAAAACCCCCCCAAGAAAAAGAATATAAAATCCACATTGTTTATTTACAAGTGTTACAAATGATAAACATACTAAAAGGAAGAAAGTCAAGATTGTATTTGTATTCAAAGAAATACTAGCATCACTTCTTCTTTCATTATATTTGTCGCTCTTTGCATTCATTGTTTGACACGTGGAATCTGCTAACATGATATGAGATAGTGGAGTCTACATGTCAAACAATGAATGTAAAATGTGACAAATAAACTAACAGAAAAAGTTATGCTAGCATCAGAAAGAGTGGTGCTAGCATTTCTCTTGTATCCATCCATACGATCACTTTTGGAAAAAAGAATGAGGAGTGAATCTTAATGCTACCTCCCAGACATAAGATTGACCAAAGCTTGGTTGTCATATAAAGAACCGACATCCCAGTCCTCAGTCGTGGATGAAAGTGTCATTAGTGCAACCACAATGGATCTCATGCTTGGCCTTAGTTGAGGACTCTCTTGCGTGCAAGCTTTGGCAAGTTGTGCCATCTGAAACAGAAATCAGCATATATAGTTATGAGACATAAAAACATCTCCTAACACAAATATCATTATCAACAAAAAACAAAAAAACAAAAAAAAAAAGTACAGAAAGAACTGGTTAACATAGTTTTTGTTTTTTGCTCTAAGCCATAGTGCCATTTAAATTTTTCATCTAAGTCAAAACTTAGCTTATGCTATACTCGGTACTAAATATGCATTGCATTTGAGAATGATCTTATTCTCTAAATATCAATTTTAGCATTGATATATATTCAACATCTAATTCATTACCCTTTTAAGTTTTGAGAGAAATGAGAATGAGAATTCACCTTGTAGACCGACTCAACCGGGTAGTCCTTGCCTAGCCTAGGGTCAACTATTTTGGCGAGATCTTCCCTGGGATCAGGCTGACCAAGAACATCTTCAAACTACACAGATCAGATCAAGAACACATGTTTCAGGCCAAGGTCATTAGGGGCACAAAAAAGAAAAAAGAAAGTGCAACTTTCTTTATGGTTTTGGATAAGGAGATGGAAAAGGAAGTGAATATCAACCAAAGCAACAAGGCCCTTGGATTCACTAGTAACAGATGTATTTGTCTTGACCACAGCTTCCATGGCAGATATAAGTTCATAAAGGACAACTCCAAAAGCATAAACATCTACTTTTGGGGAGACATCACCATATTGAGCATACCTGTTTACAAATGCTTTATTTAGTCAAAATGCTCAACTTTTTCAAAACATATCCACTAAAGTCGGTTCTTATACTAAACACGAAATTAGAAATTGAGTACTTGGCTCAATTCAGCTTTTTTTTTTTTTTTTTTGGTAAAACAGTTGATGAATCAAAGGGGGAACACAAGAAAAGAATTGAAAGGTTCAATTCTTACTCTGGAGGCATATATCCGAATGTACCAACGAGACGCGTATGCAATGAATTACTCCCGTATTCAGTCAGTTTTGTTAGCCCAAAATCTGCAACCTGTACAGGAAACAAGTTATAAGAAGATACAAAATTCTGCAATCTATGATATTAACAGATGAGTATTAAGTACTTTTTTCACAACCTTTCCGCGGAAATTTTTGTCTATTAAGATGTTCGCAGACTTGATATCGCGGTGGATATAAACAGGAACTGTGTGTTCATGGATGTACTCAAGTCCTCGAGCTGAATCCAAGGCTATCTGCACCCGAGTAGGCCATGGAAATGGATCCATCCCTTACAAGATGAGGACTGATAAGAGACCAAGACATAAAATGTTCACGTTCGTATTGCATAGTTGGCATTATTTTTCTCACCTGAACCTCTCAAATGCTGACCCAAATTTCCATTTTCGATGTACTCGTAAACCAGGAACAAGGACCCCTCAACACAGTAACCTATCAACCGGACCTGCCCAAGATTTCGATGCAGAAACCATATTACAATAGTCATAAGACGCCTAAAAAATTGAGTGAAATGAACTAGAAGGTTATTTATTAATTTTCCCGAAAAAGAGTCATTCAAATTGACAAAAAGCTCTAGTCATGAATACTATACTAGAGAAAGCATTACCAGGTTCAGATGATGAACATGAGTTAGAACATTCAGTTCAGCAAGAAACTCTTTTGATGCCTGCATATCCATTTTCTTTATTGCTGCTTTCTGCATTATAATAGATGTTTAGATATCAATAACTGTAGAACATTCAAGCACATGGAAAAGTGGGCGCAAAATGCAATAACTCTTGCAATGTTTATAACTTCAATCATGCATAAGAAGCTATCTTATAGAACCTAAACTTTTTCTTTTTCAAGTAATCTTTTTGTTTTTTTGTATGAAAATGCAAATGAAAATGTTTTCAATCTCAGACATAAATCATTTTTAAAAATATGTAGTTTTATCAAAACATTATTTTCAGTATAAAAAATCCTTAATGTTTATTTTTTTCTCTCTCTCTGCCCAAGAGAGGAGAAAACGAAAACAAAAAATAAAAAACAATTAAAAGTTATTTTTCATTTCTCTTTTATTTTACACTAAATCAAATAATCGTTTTCATTTCTGTTTATATTTTTATTGCGTCAAACACCGTTTTAAAAACGTTTTCATTTTTTATTTCTCAAGAAACGAAATTAATTTCAAACACGACTATTATAATTATTTAAATGTGGTATTAGAGCGACAAACCTCACCCCGGAGCTCTGCATAGTAAACAGATCCAAAACCACCTTGGCCAATCTTATTAGCATTGTCAAAGTCATTAGTAGCCTTGGCAAGCTCTTCATATGAGAACTCCACTGATTTGTCCACAGTAATACCTGTACTAGTACTAGTTTGCTCCGAAGTACTTCGAGAAGCTTTATCAAAAAACAAAAAAACAAAACAAAACTTTGAGAGTGGCGATTTAAACTGTAAACCTCAACAAAATACTATTTTACTAAAACAAAAAAAAGGGAAAAACAAAGTCCTTTATTTATAGTCCCTAAACCTTGAAATCAAAAACAGCAATCATCGATTTGCTAATAAGTACTTGTTTATCATTTGATGGTCATTTTCCCAGTTACAACCAATCACAAATTCACATGTTAATTATGAGATGCACTGATTATGACACAGGGTTTCACACGATTTTACATGTCGATGTCACGTTTTAAATAATTGAAGAAATCAATGATAATGATCATGCATTCATACTAGTGAGAGGTAGCATTTAGAGACAATGTTAGTTACATTGAGCTTGTTGAAGATACTGGTCATGATCAGATGCAGCCGGGAGCAGAGTAGCCTCTGCCAACTTCTTTTTTCTGTAAAGCCCAAAGTAGAAACCAAATGCCAAAATTGAAGCCCCAGCAACGGCTGCAACTATAATACCGGCAATTGCTCCACGTGTAATACCTGCTCTAAGTAATAATGTCAGCTCATACTAATAATATCACCATGTTCACTATAAAGAGAGAAAAAATACCAGCGTCACTAATTTTATCACTCTCTCTGTTACTTTTTAATTTATTATTTGACACGTGAATTTTAATTAAAAAAATGAGATAATAAGTTTACGTGTCAAATAATAAATGTAAAAAGTGATAAAAAGAGTGACAGAGACGATGGCGAAGTAACATTAAAGCAAATAAAAGTTTTTAGCCAGAGAAGACCAACAACCTGTGCTGCAAAAAACAGAAGACAATGAAAATTAGATACAATCCCGGTTCAACTTTGAAAATAATAGTTAGGAAAAGTGTTCACCTCAATTTACTTACCCTGATTTGAGTGGTGGAAACTCTCCTCGTTCATCTGCCAAAAGAAAAAGGGCCAAATTTTGTAGAAATATGAGTTATTGTAAGAGAGGCTAAAAATATATATATATATATATATATATATTTCCTAATTTTCAGTTTACTTTTTCTTTAAAGAAAATTCTACTTGGCAGTACTATCAGTATATATAGATTCTAGGCAAAAATTCACTTAACGAATTACCCATATTCAGTCGTCTCAAATTTGCTTACTTATTATATCAACAATTTGGTCTTTTTAAAGTAGGAAAATAAGACGGCGACAGGTGTAACGGGCAGTAACGGCCGTTTTCGCGCCAAAGTTCTTTGGGCTTGATTAAGATGTCTGATCTGAAATGTTCAAATGGGCCCTCTAAAAGTCCAAAATAAAACTGGGCCCAGAGATAGTTGAAGAAGAGGAATGGAAAATTGAGATTTGAAATAATATATAGGGAAATAGTAAAAAATATGCCAATATAAAAAATTTAAGAAAGTATATAGGCTAATTTTTAGTTATAGAAATTAATAAGCCATAACTTGTCAAGTTATGGTTCATAACCAGACAAGTTATGGACAATTATGGACAATAACTTGTCAAGTTATAGTTCATAACCAGACAAGTTATGGACAAGAACAGTAATTTGATCTATTTATTAACTTATGTAAACTATTGGCCTATTAATTTTAATTCATTTCAAATCTTGGCCTATTTCCCTCTTTCTTCCTAATATATATTATAATAATTAATAATAATAATTATTATTATTATTGAACATATCCGTAAGAGTATATGAGTCTTGATTTTTACCTCTTATTCTTGATTAATATTTTTTTGACTAATATAATTAATTGACTAAAAAAATATCAATTAAGAGTAAGAGATAAAAATTTAGACTGATACACCTTAAAATTTTATTGGTCTCATTTTTCTTGAATATATCATTTTTACTAAAACTTTACAAATAAAAGTAGTAGAGATGAATAACTAAACTTCAAATTTATACCAAGCCTAAATTTAGGCGTTGTTAAAAAAGATGCTTGTCTAAGATGGCCTTTCCTTGTTTCTAGAATGCACTGGTGATAAACCTCTTTAATCGTTTGACCTGTGTTTGTTTGTCTCTGTCATTCCTATGGACTTATTAAACATAACAAACTTCTTTTTTAATCCTCAAATATTCTGTCATTAAGGGCTAAGCACGGCTAAAAAATAGAATACATACACTTTTGTTAAATATTAAAAAAAAAATTGTTTTCATCTTTCTTCTCTCAAGAAGTAGAATATATAAAAGAAAAGAAGTTTTTTGATGAGGTAAGACAATATTCCTCCTAAAAAAGGCCAACTTAAAACTCGCGTGTTAAAAAAGAATCTCTATTATCATCTTCAAAATTATCTCTATTCATAAAGGACAAAAATTTTATGCTGATCATTTTAGGGGTGCGTTTGAAACTAATTCTAAAATGATTTTATTTTTTGTATGAAAATGAAAATGAAAACGTTTTTAATTTCAGACATATATTATTTTTAAAAATGCATTTGGTAGTTTTTTCAAGAGATTATTTTCAGTATAAAAAATCTATTAATGTGTGTGTCTCTCTCTCTACTCGAGAGAGGAGAAAACGGAAACAAAAAATGAAAAATGACTTTTAGTCATTTTTCATTTCTCTCATTTTACACTAAACTAAAAAATCGTTTTCATTTCCGTTTTTTATTTTTAATTGTGTCAACGTCGTTTTTCTCCCGTTTTCATTTTTTCTTTCTCAAAACACATGAAAAATAAAAACGAAAACAACTCCAAACATAGCCTAGGGTTCCCCATTTTTTTTTCTGTGATTTTGAGTAGCGAAAATTAATCAGGCTCAAAGAGGTGATTAGGGATATTATTACAACAGGGTAAGTTCAAATGGCTCAAACGATCCAACTAGATATTAAATGTAAAACGATACTAAATGAGCGAGTAAAACTCACTCATCAAAAATCTAAAAACTAACTCCAATACACGACACATTAATCTAGACCTTGATCTAACACAAAATAGTACCATTTTGTATATGATGAATGTGTATAAAAATATAATCTATATAATACAACACTCATATTGTCCGCATACATCCTAGTACACATTTTGTTAAAAATAAGGTGCACTAACCTTTTGCAGGCACAAACACAATTCCAGTCCCTGCACTAAAATTGTACCCCGGGTTGTACTTCTCCAGCAGCCCGGACGACACACCCGCCGCCTCTGCCACGGAGGACAGGTTTTCGGCCGGACGGAGAGGGTACGTCGCAAACAGCCCGAAATCCTTCGACACATGTACATCGCCGCATGAGCAGTTGACCGTGACATTGATTGGGGAGCCTGTTGGTATCCTAGTGGGCTTGTAAGTGTTCACTCTGTGGACCCAATCCTCGGTGGTGAGATTAGCAAAAACAGTATTGGCAATCTTATCATAGGTGTCCCCAAACTCGGCCTTGTAAATGAAAGTATGGCCTAGAAAATCACTATTCAAGCACTCACAAGAGAAGGGCACATTGACGCGCTCGCCGGTGAGGATGCTATCTTTGTTGGCCACGTTTGGGTTGTGCTTGAGGATTTCAGAGATTTCTTTGCCAAATATGGCACTTATATATGTCAAATTGGAACCTTCCCAAACATAATATGAGGCTAAGGCAAGTTTGCACCCACTTTTGCACTTGGCTTTGGCTTTGAAGGATGACATGAGAAGAACTTCAAGTACTAGCAAGAACATAACTAATGGCGTTCTTCTTGATCTCTTCTTCAAGTTTATAATCATTTTGAGAAGGGGAAATGAAAAAGGGGTATGAAAATTTTGAGCTTGGAGATCATTTGGAGGGTGCAAAAGGGTGAGAGATGGGCTTTGGACTTTGATATCTCATACATATTATACTATTTTGTTTGGTTAGTATCTGTTTGTTTTTATTTATTTTTTATTTTTTTAAAATAAATGTAGGGGTGTGCATTATTTTTTTTTTGTCTTTGTCATGGTGCTCTATGTATGATTCATTCAACTTTGAACAACTCCATCAATTTGCTTTTAAAAATGAATTTTTAGCTAATATATAAGGGAACATAACAACATTTAGAAAGAAAAAATATATATAATTAACTTGTAGTTTGAAGTAGGGGAATTTCGGATCTATTTAATTGAATATAGCAATATAAACAGACACATATATTTATATATAAGATTGCTTTCGGGAGTTTTCAAATTTTTCAAGAATGTTACGTCATAGCATCAAAGTTGGAAATTATAAAAGAAAGAAAATAGTGGAGTCGTAATAATATTTTGGAGAGCCCAGTATATTTGTTTATAAGCTACATAAGACCTCAAATGGATTTTAAAAACACGGTCATTTTTGAAAGATTTAAGCCTCGTTCATTTCACCGATTTGAGTTTAGAATTCAAGTTTTGCTACAGTAAAAAGTTCTTAAAAACAGTCACATTTAACTTTTTTACTACAGTAAAAAGCTCTCACATAAAGTCATATCTCAACTCGAATTAAAAACTCAAATCAGCGAACTAAACGGGTCATTAATATGTCATTATTCTTGCAAGTTCTACTTTGTCTTCTCTCTCTCTCTCTTTTTTTTCTTTTTGCTAGAATGAACTATGAAGCGCTCCGAAGTTGATCATGTTTGACTGGGGAAAAAATGGAGGATGATATCAAGGAAAATATAGGCACAGCTATAGATTATAGAATCCTCCCCCAACGCTAGAGACAATAGCAAATCCACCAAACAAGACAAACAACCTCAATATTTAAATCTAATTGAGCTCACTTGTGAAAATAATCAAATTATGAAATCCCTATCATATAATTAATTCCTAAATTAACAAAACATTAACATCTGGTAGCTCACCAATCATTACACAATGAATTTCACTTCTAACTACAACTAATTGAATGTAGATCGTGCCTATTTATGTGAACAATATCATTGTCTTTTTTTTTTTTTGTAATTTGAATGTTGACGTTTCTATGGGCCCACAATTACTTGATCGATGAACAACAATTTTTTTTAATTAATTAGTCAAGTTGTTCATTTCACTAATTTAAATTTTGTTACAGTAAAAAAATTTTAAAAACAGTTATATTTAATTTTTTTATTATAATAAAAAATTTTCATATAAAATTACATCTTAACTCGAATCAACGAATTAAACTGTCACAAAATTCGATCTTCCTATTCTGATAATACTCGTATAGCACACGAACTATAATACTAAATACGACAATAGGAGCCTTCCGTGTTAGGACAGAAGATATTTTGTGCACAAACGAGTGAAGTAGTGTGTGGATGTGGAGATATTTTTGTCTAAAGATGAAGAACTGGTTGTGGTTTTATTGTGACAAAAAATAAAAGGGTAGACGAGTCTCATTTCATCTGTTTGGCGTCTCTATACCATCCATTTCCTTTCCATGGAATCCGCTGCAACAGTTCAGCCTCTGAATCATCAGCTCTCTTTTCTCTTTCCAACCAAACTCATCAGAACCAAAGCTTCTCCTTGTCGCTGGCCATCCAAACCAGCCACATCTCACTCCACTCGTTTGTATTGCCAAAAGATGTATGTCCCTGGTGGGTTATCTCTCTCTCTCTCTCTCTCTCTCTCTCTCTCTCTCTCTCTCTCTCTCTCTCTCTCTCTGCTTTGTTTATGTTGTTTTTACAGAGGTTGGGGTTTATATGTAAATGCAGGATTTGGAGAAGCATCACCGGAAGCAAAAGCAGCCAAGAATCTCCATAATTTCTTCACTTACATTGCAGTTAGGATTGTCGCTGCACAGCTTCAGGTTCTCATCACTTGCTTTGCTTGCTTGAATTTCTTTAAAGAGAACAAAAAAATAAAATAAAATAATGCCACTTTAGTGAGGATTGCCATATGTTACTTTTACATTTGCTTTTCCTTTGCTCAAATTGTTTCATAATTAATTAGCATGATCGAGAATATGGAATGGAAATTAAAACATTAGTTTTGTAAAATGAGTTTTGTATATGCTGGTCCGTTCATTTTACCGATTTGAATTTATAATTTGAGTTTTATTACAATAAAAAATTCTTAAAAATAGTCACATTTAACTTTTTTGTTACCGTAAAAAACTCACATAAAGTCACATATCAACTCAAATTAAAAACTTGAATCAACGAATTAAACGGGTCCGCTGTCGTGAGTTAGAAATAAAATCTACTACATGTTCTTAACAATGACTATGAAGAGCAGAGTTACAATCCCGAGGCATACGAAGAGCTAATGGAGTTCTTGGGGAGACACTCCTTGAATGACGGGGACAAGTTTTGTGCCAATTTGATGCGAGAATCTTCAAGGCATAAAGGCCTAGGTATTTCCAATTAAACCTTCTTTATCTCTCTTCAAATTGGCATTGTTAAGAGTTTTCTTACCAAGCTTAAACATTTTGACAAAGTTAAACCTACAAAACCCATATTAGAATGTAGTGGGGAGGCACAACAACTGGGGATGAGCAATAAACTCGTATATCACAACTGAGTTCAAATCCCGCGAAAGTAAAATACCAGACCTTTTGACTAATGAGGCATATAAAATATCTCGTTGTTTTTTATGGACAAAAAAAAAATGTTTGACCTTAAACCTAGGAGCAGTTGTTGTAGTTCTCATATATACCCATACTTTTCATATTTTAGTCTGAATTTGAATTTTCGCGTTGATTGAATTTCATGGAATGCGTCATTTGGGGAATCCACACGGCAGCTTTGCGCATTTTAGAGGTCAGTTAATTGCTCGTCAACAACTCCAGTGTTTTCCCATTTATATTATGTGCATACGTTTATGATTGTCCATTTATTTTCTTAACATCATTGACTAATGAATATAGATGGCATTTCAATCCAGGTTCGAACTGCATATTGCAAAAATGATTTTGAGTGGGACAACTTAAAGCGACTGTCTTCCAAGGTTTGAAATTATTAGACTAAGTATATGTTTGGTATATAGATTCTGTTACTGTATAAACTTATAGTTTTAATTCTATTACAGTATTTTTCTATCACAAAAATTTAAATTTTAAAGGTCACAATTAAGATCACCGATTTGAACCCATATATCACACGAGCCCTTAAATTACATCTAAAACTTAAAGCGACTGTCTTTCAAAAGGTTTTCCCATTTTCTAACTTGGCAGTTTTCTTGGATATATATTATTAGATGGTCACCGAAGCCAACACTAAGCTCATGAGAGACTACGTCTTGGAAACAAGTCACGCGGAAAGTGAGAAGTGACAAAAATTCAAGCATTACCATTGTACTATTTGTGATGAACTTAAACCTATTATTATGGTTTCTTTACAAAATATATACCAAGAAAATAGCCAGCATAGGTCAAACTGGGCACAGTGTTACATCTCTGAGCTTTTTCATAAGGCATAAGGCCAAGAAGTTACAAAGAAAAAAGAAGCTCTATTGTATGAACAGTTTCCTTTGAGGAAGACCAAATTCTGCCTCGGAGCCTCTCTGCTGAAAATGAAAATGAAGTCCTGCATCAACTTTGTACCCCATCTTGTAATAAAAATATATATACATATACACAGATAATTAAATATTGTATATATATAGATAGATGCGTACATTGGTAGAAAACCATAGTCACGAATCCTTTATCAATCTGTTTAGTTCATTGTCCATCAAATTCATCCTTTGGCTGCACCTGCAGTACAAACCAAAATCATATATTAAGAGGACGTTTTGTTCATAGATTCAGAAATATAATTCAGAATCATTCTTGGTTTACGTATGTTTTTTGTGGGAGAAAATATTGTAGTGAGTTACGAACCATGATTCGAATCATGACACGGATCCTTACTCCAAACGCACCCAAAAAGGAACAAGTGAGTTTACTCTCTTTCTCTCTCTCTCTCTCACCACGTGTGTGCACGTTCGCATGCTTGGGAGGCATGTAATGATACAAAGTAATAACCCCAATAATTTATGGATATGACTTTCGCAAAAACATACCTCAACATAGCGCCGAAGGTCGTTAGATGCATGGATATGCCCTGTGTTAAAATATGAGTGAGCATATTCTTCAATGCTCTCTAGCCTGCAAATCATTTGTTCACTGTTATATTATAATCAAGACAAATGTGGAAGTTTCTCATTGAGTTAAGTCGCCATAGGAGAGGAAAAAGAAAAGAAAAAGTTGCTTTCCAATTAAAAATGAAAAAGTTGGTTTTGATGGGAAAAAGTAACCTGTAAACGTAGTTCACCATGATACCTCCACTTTGACGTAGGCCTTTCTCTGATCGGTCAGCCATCCAATTTATTCTTTCAATCATCTGTCACGCATTAAGAAGAATTTTTAAGTTTTTATATTGAACTCCACTGTCCTTTTTAGTGGCCAAATTTGTTTAATGATAATGTAACTTTTTGCCCTTGGAAACTTCTCTAAGATGGGTCATAAGAGCCTATTTAATCAACAAAGCCACTTTATCTCTACTCTAAAGTGAAAATCCTTCCATTTGACTGACCATCAAAAAAAAAAAAAAAAATACATCACCCATAACCGTAGGCGGCCACCAAAGAAAGATTTTAGTGTAGAAATTTGAATTCAGAGGACATACTGCTCCATTCTGCAAGTGAAAGTTCGCTACAGAATCCAGAGCTTTTCCTCTTTTTTTCTCTTGCAAAAGATACCTATAATCAGATAGTTGACAAGCAGTATAAACATACAGAGCCACAAATGCAAAGCTCATACCAGATGTAAAACCAATTTCCTGTTCTTACGTATTTTCACTCTCAGCTATTTCACACTACAACAGACCCATTACTTCCAAAACTCGTTCACGAGTCATGACAGCATTTCTAATAAATCTATTTAATTAAAATGGTTTAAAAGATAATAATAATAATAATAATAATCCATTGTGTGCTAGCTCTGTAGGAACATAAACGTACCTTGCACAGAGGTGCATCAGAGGGGGTTTTAATGCCGAAAGTAGCTCATCTGAATTGATCCACTCATAGTTTGTGGAAGTCAACAATTTGAGCATCACTTCCATGCCATTGTTTCCAGCAACAAATTCACTGAAGGTAAACATATTATCAAGTTAAAGCCCTGCTAAATCTGTCAGCTTTTTTGGTGTCGTAATAGGCATGAGAGAGGGGTTACAAAAAGACAAAAGACATAATAGCTAACTAAAGATTAGATTACGTGGAAGCTTCCATTAGCCCTCTTTCTTCTTCAGGTTCAAGTATGTTCTCAAAAAACGTTGAACCAGATTTTTCTGCTGATGAATGTGACAAAGCTTCTCCTTCAGCAAGTTTTGATTGAGATGCCAACTTCGATAGAAGCCATTGCATGTATCCTGGGATTGGGCTAAGGGTTGCAAATGTCTGTTCAAAATAAGATTAAAAATATTGTCAGCTAGTAAATCAGTAAAATGTTTTGTCAATTTTGCAGTACAAGGTACTTGTTATGGTAAAGAGCTCGCAAAGCTTGTACGGTTGTGAAAGACTCTTTTTGGGGGGATTGCAAACTATTTGAAACCGCTCCATTACCGTACTACTTCCATACTGACTGATAAACTCACTCTCTTTCAAATGCAGCTATTTGAGACATTGACAGTAAACTGTAAACGAAATCAAATCAACTAAAACACACACATCTAACTAGTTCGATAATTTATCTCAAAAAGCCCGAGTAATGCAGCATGAAAAAATATTTTCAAAGGAGTTCTGGCTCTTCAATTTTGCAAGTATTAAAATGACGACAGAATACTTACAGAAATATGTGGCATGTCTCTTTTAACATGTTTTATCACACGTTTGATGAGAAACTTTCCCAGATTGATCCCTGATAAACCGGGCTGCAGAATTTCATAGGCGCTCAGATCAGGCCCCGTCTAGCAGGAAATAAAAAATTAATATATATATATATACATATTTATGGCAAATTGTGTAGTTAGACCAACAAATATGTCTAATGATGGACCATTTCATGGTTAGGTCATTACATCTATTTAATTCCTCGAAGAAAATTTCCACAAAATGAAGACGACTAAATGAATACAACATGAGTTGTAAACAGGCAAACCTGAGTTGATGATATGGAATAAAACAGCGCACAAGTTGCCTCACTTTCGGGTATTGGAGGATCATCCCACAAAACTTCCTGTCAGACATGACATGTTACTTGCACCCCGAATGGATGGAGAGATAGAATTCACGTATTGAAAGAAAAATACCTGTATTGTTTGAGCAACATTCTTCTGAAGTGCAACCTCAATGAAGATAAGAGGCTCGCCTACCAAAAGATTTTAGAGAAAAGCAAAGTAGTTTAACGATCATGAAAAAGAAGAAAAAGTTTTGTGGTCCAACTTCTCAACACTACTGATTAAAATGACCCTGCAAAGCACTTGTTGGCATGCTCGGTAAAACAAATTTTGAAACTATTAAGCTACAGTTTAACATCAGGTATTCCAACATTTCATTAGTCATAGATGCGCTGATAAATTAGACAACGAATATTTGTCTGTGATAAGACAAATTGCTACCAAGTTCCCATGGAAAACCAGGAGGAAAAATGAATTAAGAATTGCGGAATCTTCAGCAACAGATAAAATATGTAGGTTACATATTTCTGAAGTGAAAAGAATAGCTAACCAGGTATTGCTGGATGTAAATATCCAAAACAGCGGCGACCAACTCCCAGCCTTCTCTTAAGATCAATAAGATTGCTGATTGGGTGCACAGCCTATAGAAGACAACTAATTAAAACAAGCTTGGAGTCCAAATAACAGTTATATCCAAAGCCTGGACAGGGAAGATAAATATACCTCATATGCCACAATTTTTTCCAATAAAGAGGCAGGGTCGTCCCATGTGATCTGGTGGAGCTCTAAAGCAGCAGGACTAAGCCATGTACTTAGTTTCTCCTTCAAATGGGAATCCAATGCTCGCAAAGATGCTAAATTTTCCTCTCTATTATACAAGATTTCCATTCAGACTCCTCAGATATAATTATCAAAGTTGAAAATTTTAACACTCCAAGTTCACAAATGCTAACGTTTAACCCCACAAAACCATTTAAACATCGTGATTCAATTAACAAATTGACTGGACAAATTTGCTTTGAATCATATGACAGGACAGTAACCTTACGCGAGAATAAAAAGAATATCGGCGCGAAGACTGGACAAGAACTTCAAACCCCCAGGATGAGTGTTGAGACGCTCGAACAAATCTTCATACTTTGGCTTGAGAGCATGTCTCAGATTCCGCTCCATACGATAAAAAGCGGAGAGCGTGCCTTCCTCTTCTAAGCCACTCGATTGTACATTCCACCCTGACAATACAAATTGCTAAAGCAATTCAATCTTGCAAAAAGCTTAGAACTTTTTTTTTCTTTTTCTTTTTTTTTTTTTCGCTCCTCAGTTTTAGTGATAGCCAAGAAAACACAAGACACAACTTACTGCTTGGAAGCTCAAGTCCGAGATACTGTTTTATCAATTCGTGAACTTGAGTCCTATTAAGATCACACTCTTTGGCAAGCATAAGGAGTAATTTCCGGCGATCCTCGTAAGAGAGGCTAAAATAGCCCTAAATTACCAAGAAATGATGTCAAAAATTGAACATGAAAAGAATAATCAAATTCAAACTCACAAGTTAAAAACCTTACCTCCGAGAAATCATTGAGCACAGAATCTAAAACTTCAGTTTTGTTCATTGATATGGCCGAGTGCATCGACTCGCGCACATTCTCGAAATTCCTATTAGGAGATTTAAACGAATTTAAATTAAAAAAAATGAAATTTAAGATTCTAATTGAGTGTTTTTGCAGAAAAATCTATATAAGAACCTGTCAGTATAGTTATAGGCACTGAGATTCTTATTTCCTCCATTCGATTGATTTCCTTCGGAATTGGACACCGATTGCTTAACAATGTTCTGTTCACAAAAATCAAATTTTCATCCAATAAGATCTGGAAATTTTCCATTACTTCAAATTTCTTCTTTCAAACAAACAAACTAAAATTCATAGTCAAGTAAAAACAAAAACGAATTGAAACACGAAATTTCCAGGGCAACTACAAACAAACGCCGCCTTAAGAATCATAATTAAGAGCTTTACATTGAGAGGAGATTGAGCGAGCTTGCTCGCGTCGTTAGGCTTCATTCTGGTTCGCATTAGAATGGCCAAACCTTTCTTGTTCATATTTATTGGACAGAATTTTTTTTCTTTGACGATAATTTTCCCCAAAGCACTTGCCGCTAAAGAAGGAGATTGAGCTCTCACATTCTCTAACCACACGTCATTTTCCTCAACTGATTGCCGGTGATTTTCTCAGCGACCAAACGCTGAATCAGTTCTCTCTCCGAACCTCTTGGTGGCTTGGTGGCAATGCCAATGCCAATGCCAAAGTAGAAAATCACGTTTCGTCCCCTTCGCAACGCGTTTTTCTTTTCGTTTCACTTCTCTCCTCGTTTCAGTTACGTCCAAATTCGAAAGACGAAACGAAACCCCACCAGGAATATGAACTGGGCCTTTACACAGCTGAAAGCTATAGGCCCAAACATCTTTAAAAAAAAGGGCAATAGTAGAAAATAGGCCGAAGAAAGTATATAGGTTAATTTTTAGTTATAAAAATTAATAAGTCATAATTTATCAAGTTATAGTTTATAATTAGATAAATTATAAATAAATTTGTCAAGTTATGGTTCATAATCAGATAAGTTATGAACAAAAATCGTGAATAATTTGTCAAGTTATGGTTCATAACCAGACAAGTTATGGACAAAAACAGTAATTTGGCCTATTTATTAACTTATGTAAATTATTAACCTATTAATTTTAATTCATCTCAAGTCTTGACCTATTTTCTTCTTTCTCCCTAAAAAAAAAGTAAGCAAATGTATGGGAATAAGTTGAAAAACAGCGATTATGTTGTAATGATTTAATGATTTTACTATTTATTAAATATTTTAATTTTTTTAATATGTTTTAACATTATTGGTATAATTTTATTATATGTTATATGTCCAATTTTGCTTCATGGTTAGTAAAATTTTGCTATATGTCTATTTTTTCCCCTTTCTTAAGAAACTTGGAGTAATAACCTCACATAAGTGAACATAATCGATTGTCTAGAAAACCACATTCGGTGAGCAGGACATATAACATAATTTTACTATTTACGTTTAAATTTAACAAAAAAATTAAAATCTTTATAAATAAAAAAGCGTAATAATTATTAGATAATTTTGTAGCATAATTTATGGAACTCTATTTTCTGTTGGAAGAAATTTAACTTAAATTGTGCAAAATTCGTTGTCGAGCAACTCATGTAAGCTAAGAAGAGAGAGAGAGAGAGAGAGAGAGAGAATCCTTGTGTATCTATGATCCATCTATTCTTTAACCAAGCGAGTGAATATTCTGACAGTATTTAATTCCATTACTCCAATGACGTATTGATTTTTACCATGGCCTAGTTGTCATTCATGCCGAAGAGAACCTTCCGCATGTAACCGTTAGGAGCACTCAAAAAAGAAATAGATCAATAATCCTCTTTGGAGTTAATTTGGTATTTAAATTAGTAGCAGTTTATATTTATAAATTACTGTATATTATAGAATTAATAGTATTTAAAGATAAAGATGTAATTAGAGAGGTTAACAAATTTTACTTAATTATAATTATAAATTATTTATGGATACTTAATCTATACGTAATGACTATATCAAATGAACACTTCACAGTTTAAAAGTAATTTATATCCATAATTACGAGAGTACAATTTCAAGTTTATAGTGAAGTAACTTTTAGAATTAATTAGTTAATGAGTTTTAATTAATTATTAATTTTATTGGAGTTTATAATTATAGGTTCATGAGTATTTGCATCGTTCTTGTAATCCTACAAGACACTAAGGGCAAAATGATAATTTTAAAATTACAGAATTATAAATAAAACGCTTAAGAATAATTAGTTGATAATTAATTATAAATTAAATAGTGTGATTATTCAAATTTGAATTTTAGAACACACATGTCCACATGGTGTACACGCTCTATGCGGGATTCAATCGCTTGCTCTAAGTTATCCGATTGACTTATTTGATAAGTTGTACAATTGAAATTCAAATTAAATTAAGTTTGACTTAAATTTGAATTTGAATTTGAGTCAAAATTGGACTGCAGAATAAAAACATAATTTTACCTTCTTCCTTACCTGTTATTTGCGCCTACCACAAGGAGGAATCTCCTTGTGGTGACTGGCCATATGGGATAAGGAGAGTGGATTTTGTTTCTAAAATCAATTAGAAGTGAGAGATAATAATTAAGCTTTATATTAGAGATAAAGTTTAGACTTTTTATGAGAGTTTAACTACTACTCTATAAATAGGAGATTGCAGAAAATTGGAGACCACAATTTTTGCTCTCCCTAGCATAGGTGGCCTAATTTTATAGAGTGGGGAAAGGAAAAATTTTCTCCAAATTTCACATCGTGCATGTGTTGGTGTTCATGAAAAATTTGAGTGTTTTCTTGTTAATCCAATTTTATTTCAGGTGTGTCCACACACATGTCTTCGTAAATTTAAGGAATTGACGAGGAACATTCGGGTATTCTAAACAAACTTGAAGCGAGAAACGTTCGTGGTGAAAGAACTCAAGTTATCGATCTAATCGTTATGCAGGTAAATAAATTAATTTAATTAATTTATTCATGCATAAATTAATGTAATTTATAGAGTATCTCAAATATTTATTAAAACTTTTGTTATACATAATCCGCTAAATATATGCTTCCGCATAGAAAATCATCTTAAAAACCAACAGACGGAGGCACTCATTCGATTTATGTCCCACTTCATTGCAACGGTAACATTTGCCCATCATGGGTCTTGTATAAGGGTTGGATTTGCCCACTTGAACCACAGCCTTGCCCGCAGTCTTGGAGGCACTGGCAGCAGATTCAACAAGTGGTTTGGTCAAAGATGGGTGGAATGTGGGCTTGCTGGGCTATGTGATTTTGACCTGTCACCAGTAGGACTAAAGGAAGTTCGGTTGGAATTGGAAGATCGGTGGGACGCTCAAGATAGCCTCGTTTTCGTCTGTTGGGCAAAGTTGAGAGCAGTTAAGAGATTCCAAATCGGTTGAAACACGAGCTAGTCACGAATCACATTGCACAATTCACCCAAATACCGAGCAACTTGTTGTTCTTCAGTCTTAGGGAGATTAGTGCGGGCACTGAGACGGTAGAATTCTTCGGTGTACTCACAGACAGTGAGGCTCTGCTGTTGGCAATACTGAAATTGCTGGTAAAGGGTCTGAGCATAGTCCAGAGGAAGGAAACGGGTCCACAACAACTGGCACATACGCGGCTAGGTCCGAATTTCGTGCCTCCCTTCTCAGCACCGATTGCTCTCAATCTATCCCCACCAGATGAGTGCACCTCCCTGCAGTTTCAAAACCACCATCCCAACACGTTGGTGCTCTGGAATTTCCTGGTAATGGAAGAAGTTTTCCACCACTTGCAACCATTCGAGGTGTTGAGAAAACTAATACTAATAATTGCGGAATAAAACTTTTCCTCTTTGTGTGCTAAAATAGGATCTCAAACAAAATGCCAACAAAGCCAAACAATCAATGCATCAATTAATTAAAATAATCAACCATAAATGAAACACTAATTTTTAGCGTGAAAAACCTCTCAAATTAAAAGTAAAAATCAAAGGATCCTTATGCCACTTAAATTTCTTCTACTATATTAATAATGAGATTACAAAGTTTCTCTCTAGAATCAAACTAGAGGCTCACAACAATAATATCATCAAGAAACACTATTCTTAGTTCACCAACAATATAGACATCATCATCAAAGATGGATAATAACAAGAACACCAAAGAAAAGTTTATGTCTCACCAAAATAGAAGTACTAAAGAGAGTACTAAAAAGATGCTAAATGAGAAATCAAGTCTGGTAGATGAAAAGAGTTCACCACAAGGATTCTTCACATCAAATTTGAGCCGAAACTGATAACGTTTTGCCACCCGATCGTCTTGTACAAACACCAAAATCCTACCATTTTTATCTTTCTCTCTCTCCTTTTCTTCCCTCCTCTTTCTCTGATTCCCTCGGCTGTCAGCCTCTCTCGATTCTCCTTTTCTTTTCTTTTCTATTTTGCTGGTTTGCTGCCCACCTTAGCAGCACGCCTTTCATTTTTTTTTTCCTTGGCATTTGGGCTTAAAGCCCATTATTTGTTCCCTCACTCAATTGATATTAACCTCAATGGCGAAGAGGAAAATACAAGCAAGAGAATTCAACCCAAAACTCAGTCAAAGGGGCTCTTCACGCATTAAAGAGTATAATAAAGAGGAAAGCTTATCAGAAGCTCCCAAACGACAAGAAAAGTCTGGAAACTTATTACAATACGCAAAACGACAAGTTAACAACTAAAGATCGTCTAGAGTGGGTAGCTGGACACATGAACGACTCGTCGTTCAAGGCCCTGCATCACTTGTTTTTGGTTTCTTTCCACTGACGAATAAATAAATAAATATTGAATATCAAGGCTCTTTCTAATAGTACTTTCCATTCTCTGAAAAGTAGAACATGTATTGACCATATGCACTAGTTAAAATATTAAAAGTATTATATAACAGATCTAGAACGTCGTTCGACAAGAGTCACTGCCATTAATAGATCCCGGAACATTTTGGATCATATATTATTCACAATATTAAAGACCCCAGCCCTTTCTTTTTTTAAATTTATTAGTATAATCTATATGCTAACCAAATTGAATCGTATAATACTGACTATTATTTTTTATTTGTCACGTATCCTGATTGAATAAGGAGACATTTAGTTTATGAATTAAAATCATGTGATTAGAACTATTTTTTATTTACGTGTATTTTTTGTGAGAGAAAACGCTGTAGTGAACCATGAACCATGATTCAAATCATGGTTTGAATCCTCCAACTAAACGTCCTCTAAAAGACCACGGTAATATTAGTAGCAATGAAAAAATGTCCAGCTAGTATTACAAGAATTTTACAGTAGGATATAAAAAAATGTCTTACCGGTAGATATATATTAGGTTTTATCGATTTTAGACATATATTTGTATATTTTTTATGGGATTTTGATTAAATTTGATATTGAAAAAATATTTGGTTGGGATTCCCTATTCTAGAAAGTTGTTATCTTTCAAACCAAATACGAAGGAATCGATAGAGAAAACTCAAAAGTAGTTGTCAATTGTATTAGGTATTCATATTAGTGTGGACCAACCACTTTTTTATTTTTATGTTTTAAGATTGTAGTTTGAAAATTTCCTTCCAAACACTCATTTTTGGAATCAAACTAACCTGAGCCACAAAATCAAAATATTCATTCG